AAATGGACTGATTAGAATATGTATATAATTTAATCTTCTTTGTTGTTTATTGAACGACCTTGCATGAGTCAATGAATTTACTAGAATTAAATTAACTGGAGATTAACTAGGAGTACAATTATGTTAGTATGCAGATCTAATTTTAAAAAAGGAAAAATTATTCTAAATTAGAAATATAGCAATAATAATAGAAAACTATTTATGGAATAAGCAAATGATTGAAATAAAAGCACGTAGGTAATTTGAAAAAGTTTATAAGCAGCACCAAATAATCAATATAATTATTGGAATTGACTAATATATAAATGAAAAGAATTCAAAACTGATATTTAAAGGAATAAAAAAAAAACTAGAAGAATAAAAAAAAAAAAGAAGAAGAAGAAGAAGAAGAAGAAGAAGAAGTGATGAAAATCATACAAGAAAATGACCCGAATCGATAGAATCTCTTAAAAGAAGGAACGTATCGTTTGTAAGTATCGCGAGCACCGTAGCCGGGAACGATCCGCGCGTCGTGATGGAAGAACACGGAATACCAGGAGGATGAGGAGGCATCGGATGAGACGTTACTCCAATTGCAGTATTTCACTTTCACTAACCCCGCAGCCTCCCACGAGGCTGCTCATCTCCGCTAGATCCCTGGATTGTAGTGAGGGGGGAAAAAGGAGGTAGATGGGTAAAGATAGGTAATGGATTGCATTTGTAGTAGTAGAGTAGTAGAAAATACATATACATAGAAAGATATAGGTTGTGTGGATGGTTGAAGTACCAACAGAGAAGGCCTTAGTTAGCTTGCTTTGCTTTGGGGCACCGTTCGTGGGTCACTTACTTTGTCGTTCCTTGTCGTTCTTCTTCGTTTCTACGGTTAACACAGGTACCTCCTCCACCACCACCACCACCACCACCATCACCACTACCACCATTACCTCCACCTCCATCGCCAACGAGATCGCGTCCCTATAGCCTCGTTGGCCAAGCGCTGCTAAAAAAAGCAGAAGAGGGATTCACTTGGTTAGTAGAGAAAGAAGGAAAGAAGGACAAACTGAAAGAAGAGAAGGAGGTAAACTTAACATGGTCTGTTGTAGTATGTAAGTATGTACATCGACGAAGGATAAACGAAGCATCCCTGGATAATCGTTGGTGGGGAGTTTACCCAGAGCTACTTGGTTGGGGGTTGCGTTCGGTAAGAGTATATATGATCGCTCAAACACCTCCACCATCAGTCATTCTTACTGACTTACATCCCGGTGTCTTTTACTCGACGGATCGGTTAGGTGAGTCCTCACCTTCCTCATCCATTTTCTTCTTTTACCTGTTCCTCAAGTTTTCTTCCTATCCAATTTATTTTTGTTTTTTCTTTTCTTTTTTTTTCATCTTCTGTTTTTTCTTCTCATCTTTGCTTTTTGATCGATCGATAATACAATCGCGTTTTAGTGCGGATACTTGAATAAGTTTCAAATCAATCTCGAGTATCAGTATAAATATTAGATTTTTCTTATTATGTCGAGAATTCCTCGTATCTTTGTTCTCCCTTGTTGTTTTGTAATGACATTGACATCACCAAATTTGTCCAATTTCAAGTGCCCATGTGAACGGAACTAGTAGCTTCAGTGTTAAAGCGTCAAGGTTCTCCACGAGATTTAGTTCGTTGTACAGTGGTCCGTTCTTTTTTTTCATTCTTTTTTCTTAATTATCACCCTGACCGCATTTCCTTATGATTTATTTCTAAGAAAAGTGATCTCGAAGAATCCCGACTATCTCTCGCATTTTCATTTTCATCCATTCTTTTCCCATTAATTGGAGAACTCCTAGAATTCCCTCTTACTCGCGGAAGTGAAACGAAGAAGAGCAAACTAACGAAGGACTTTGTCCTTGTTTTATTTTCTTTTCTATTCTTTTTTACAGGCTAACAATTAAGAACAGCAGCGTCACCAATCATGGGGCTGCGATTATTATTGATAGGTAATTACTAAATTATTTTTATTTTTTTATTCTCGAACTATTTTTCTTTTCAGAACGAACTTAAATTATTCTATGTTATTTTCGACATAAAATTTATGTTTTTTAATTTTTATGAAGGAAATTGTCTACATTTCGTATATTTAATGTCGAAGAAAGCATAGAATAAAACAATCCTAAGCGTATAATCATTGCGATGTCCACAGCAAAGAAATTCTATAATGATCGCGGACATCACGTATGTCTTTCGATGTAGACATTATTTGTATCCATTTTTCTCTCTCTTTTTTTTTTTATTTTCTTACCATCTTCTCGCTCGTTAGTACTTCAATTGCAATCAGATTAACATTCTTCGACAATGTCGTAGCATCGTAGTCCTTGATTCACATCCATCTTGGTGAATCTTTACATGTGCTTCTTAAAATGTACATTTTATTTGAAAGAAAAACGTATACGAACGAAGACAATGATATCGTAGATAAATTATTTTATTATTAACATTTTTATCTTCATAAATTTTTTATTAATTCACTTTAATCGAAGGAAAAGTCGGTGAAGGATAGACAAATAATTTTTATGCACATGTGTACACATTAATCAACCATTTTTACAAATAATTTTAATGTCAGACTTTTTGCAATAAACAGAAATTCATGTGTATGTTCAAGGACGATTAAAACGATAGACAGAGAGAGAAAAAATAAAAAGAAAGAGAGGGAGAGAGAGAGTAATTAATCAAATAGAATTCGAAATTTCATTCGAACCTTCCAACAACAAACAACAAGGTCCACTTTTTCGTAACTTCCTCTAATTATAATACATTAAAGATAAGATGGTCCTCGTGCCTAACAGTTGGTATTGTTCCACCAGCAGACTTTTACATTTTTATGGGGCCATTCTTTACGCTTAAGATCATCCGTACTTAAAATAAAGGTCAAGTGTATGCGGCCTGTTGGTGCAATTTCAGACATCCTTCTCTTTTCCTTTTTTCATTTTTTTTAGCAAACTTTAAAATGGAAGAGAGAATGAAAGAAAGAGAAAGAAAAGGGACGTGAATGATATTAATCCTTGAGTTATTAGTACAGACTACGTGCACGTCTTTATGCTAATGAACATGAAGTAAGATAGAAAACGGATGCTCCACATTTCTTCCATAATGAAAGATCATTAAGCTTTACACCGTTTTCATAAAAAAAGCAGCTGATTTCTTTTTAAATATTACGAATGACTAACCTTTGTTTTTCTACCCCTTCATTTTTTTCGCATCTACAAAAATATTATGCAACGTGAAAGTCATAGTATTTTTTATACTAATTTATAGAGAGAGTAATTCTAATTTATATTTTAAAAAAATATGATAGGAAGATAATTATCAAAAGTATTCAAAACTTAATATAATTATTAAAATTGAATTAAAAATAAAGAAATAAATTTATTGCAAAACTGACGTTGTAATATTTTAGCCGAAACTTTAGAAATGAATTTTTTAATGATACAATTAAACGAAATTAGTTAAATATTGTGTTAGATAAAATAGACAAAAGAAGATATATATTTTTGGAGAAAGTTGTATCACAATAGTGTTAACTATTTCTTTATTTGTTGTGTTGTAGTTGTTAGATTACGCCATTGCTCGCGGAACACCTAGTCGCGCAATACAAGTGTAACGACGAATCGTTCGAAGATTCTCTCGAACGTGAAACACAAGCGAGACTTCCTCGGCGTATCGCGTTCAGATGATCTTCTTAGATCACGCGAAGCTCGACCGTTACTCGATCTCCATCGTCCATTGTTCCTCCTCCCCGTTAAAGATTGACTCTTTTTACGTTGACCAAGAAATACACGAAGAGGCTTATCGAACAATTCGCTTGAACATTGTACAACATTACTACGTTTTAAATAAATCAAAACAAATCGATCTTAAGATCTATATATTAAATCATCTCGATCATTGAGATTATCTAATCATATACGATCTGTTTGTTGTTTTATAATTTTTTTATAATAACAAAAAAGGATAAATTGAACAAATTGATTAGAGATGATTATGATGATCGTGTGATTTTCTGTCAAGATGGAGAGGACCCTAGATTTCTTTCATCATTTAGAACAATAACCCTAAAGTGTCGAGACGAGCGTAACAATGTGACGAAACAAAAATATTAGTGAGTTCTCTTTTTTTTTTCTTTCTTTCTTTTTCTCCTTTTTCTTCCATCACATCTTATTTTTCATCATTGTCGCGTAATAAAAGCAAGCATACGCAATTCGTCGCTGTGACGGTGCCGGGTTGCGTGCGAATCTCACATGAGAGAAATGGCCTGAAATATCTCTCTGACATAACTTCCCGCCTAATTAATTAAGAAACATTGTCGACTATCACAGACAGAAAGAAGAGAGAGATAGAGGGGGAAAGAAATAGGGAGAAAGAGAAGGTAAGACGTGACAAGGAATCCGTGCTTTTTCATGCAGCGTTCAACGTTAAATGTGAAGAAAAAGAAAAAGAAAAAGAAAAAGAAAAAGAAAAAGAAAAAGAAAAAGAAAAAGAAAAAGAAAAATAAAAAGAAAGATAGAGAAGATATTTTACGAGTTAGGAAGAAAAGGATAAAAGATGTTAGGCGTGTTAGTAGCATGATTTCTAGAGAGGACCAACCAAACAAAGGATGAGAAAAGAGACAGAGAAACACTTATGTTATTTTTATTTACATTCAATCGGTGTAATGCGTACGCGTGGCTCTATACGCATAAGTTTTACCGAGTTTTCTTTGCCTATTTTCGCAATCAATTTCATTTAACGTTTGTCTTTGCAGAAGTACTAGAATTGTTATTTTAGACGAACGAAGAAGAAAGTGTTCTAAAATAATTTACAACTGTTTGCATTTAAATTACCTATATGTACGTAAAATGAATAAAATGATTTATTAATTTAGGGAAGAACAAATAATTTGTCACGTGAATAAGAACGATGTGTTTCCTTTAATATTAATGAATCGTGTCAGTCTTACATGTGAGCGTGTTGTAATGATACCTGTGTTTATATGTTTCAGCTTCGCTAGCTATCTTCCACGGTTGCACGGTGAGTATATTTGATCGTTTTAATATATCGTTATAAATGCATTTGCTAAATGAAGCTGTTATTACTTTTTGACAAGCGTGTAACCCAAATGAAAATTAATCTTCCAGCATGAAATTCTTATTAGCAATTGCGCCATTCTCGTAACACAAAGTCGTCAACAGTTCGATCGGTTTTCTTCCTCTTTTCACGATGACGTAATATCGATAGATTACACCAAGTATAGAATATAGAAATCACCGCGTGTTGTAGTCAACTCTCCTGGCTATACTTGTCACGAGATAGTAATGCATAAAGCGCGAAGAATATATAAGTGCCTAATGTCAACTCACGTAATATTCAAAGTGGTTAAGTGATTCACGTAGGTTGCGGGTTGAGTCGAAAAACTAAAGTGTTAGGACCTTAATGATTCATCGAGATATAGCAATTTTCTTTTAAATGTCAAGTAAACGATGAATTCAAATGAAATTGTTCCCATCGTCGATAAAATCTTCCTTTAAAATTTTCTCATTTTTAAAATATTACAATATGTAATTATTTTGATTTCAGGCAGAACAGGGTTATAGTTACCCTAGACCTAACAATCCGCTAACACCAGGTGGTGATCACGGCGGCAAACCGGGAGGTCCAGGTTTTCCTGGAACTCCCGGTGGATCTCCATCGCATGGTGGTCCTGGAGGATATCCGTCACCCGGTGTTCCTGGAGGTCCAGGTGGAGACGAAGGACCTGGAGGATATCCTAGTGGGAAACCAAGTGCTCCTGGAGGATCTGGTGGATATCCTGGTGGTGGACCAGGTGGATCAGGAGGCCCGGGAGGGCCTGGAGGATATCCAACCGGTAAACCAAGTGGACCGGGTGGACCTGGAGGTCCTGGTAGTTATCCTGGTGGCGGACCACAAGGACCTGGAGGACATGGAGGCTATCCTAGTGGAAGACCAGGAGGACCTGGTTTTACGGAAGGTCCAGGAGGTTATCCTGGAGATGGACAACAAGGACCAGGTGGACATGGAGGTCCAGGAGGGTATCCGAACGGAAGGCCTGGAGGTCCAGGAAGTCCTGGAGGATATCCCGGTGGAGGACCACAAGGTCCGAGTGGACCAGGAGGCCCAGGAGGACCAGGAGGGCCAGGAGGATCTGGAGGATATCCTAGCAGTAGACCTGGAAGTCCGGGAGGTTATCCCGGTGGTGGACCACAAGGCCCTGGAGGTCCAGGAGGTCCAGGAGGACCAGGAGGATCAGGAGGATATCCTGGCGGTAGACCTGGAAGTCCAGGAAGTCCGGGAGGTTATCCCGGTGGGGGACCTCAAGGTCCTGGAGGCCCAGGAGGTCCAGGAGGGCCAGGAGGTCCAGGAGGATATCCTAGCGGAAGACCTGGTGGCCCAGGAAGTCCTGGAGGTTATCCCGGTGGAGGACCACAAGGTCCTGGTGGCCCAGGAGGTCCAGGAGGACCAGGAGGATATCCTGGCGGTAGACCTGGGAGTCCAGGAAGTCCAGGAGGTTATCCCGGTGGGG